TTAAAGTTAGTTAAAATTAAAAGTTACTTATCAAAGTTTTTAACATTTCAGGCACTTACTAATTTTGGCGGAAGATAAATATTATGGGTTAAACGTTGGTCAATTATCAAGCAAAGTGCAAATTATGAATTGCAGAAAAAATAATAAGACTATGATAATAGACAATTGTATAAGTACATACAAGTACTTTGTATGCAAATATCATATGATTATACATTTGTAATATTTTATAAACATATAAAAAATTCTATATTAAATAGTCGATACCTACAAAAACACTTAAAATAGAATTAATAATAATAAATAAATAAATATCATAATATTACTGAATATAATATTGTGGAGAATATAATTTCATATTGTATTAAATAATTTTATAATATATAAATAATAAAATATTTTTTATATTATATCCCGTGCATCGCACGGGTATCAACACTAGTAACTAAGTACAAATGTGAAATTGAAGTCACAAAATTTTTCTTATATATTATTCTCGAATGTGTTGGGCATAAGTGGCAGACTTGCATACTTTGGGATCCTATTTATCATAATTGTATGCTTTGGATTGATACATAATTAGGCTCGGGTGCCATATCATAAAATAATTACTTTACTGAAATAATTATTATTTATTTCGTTCTATATTTTTCTCCATAGTTATCATAATACTTTTCTTTTTATTTCATATTTTTATTTCATTTTCACTTAAATCAAACATATTAGTTTATTTCTCTATCTTTTTTTTCAAGTATTCGCATATTACTCATTTCAAAGATGAAGTAAAACTCAGGCTGATGTCACGCAATTATAAATCTTGTCAAGTCGAAGTGAGCTTTAGAAAGTCGAGCTCTAGCTCAAGCAACATTAGACAAAAATTGAGCTTAGATTGATAAGCCCAATGACAGCGAGTAGCGACGCGACGAATTTAAACTCATAAGTTTTCCTCAACTAACATCTACTAACTAGTAGTGGAGGCGAATAAGGGTCGATCCCACGAAAACCAGAAGTTAAATTGTAATTATTCTCGTATTAATTGAACTAAAGTACAAATGAAATAAAAGATGGGGAATTGATTTTATAAACTAAAAATAAAAGTAAATAATTTAAAAACCTAAAAATAAAATAAGAGAAGTCCAATTTTTCGATTTAGTTATCACTCAGTCCAAATCTATTGT